TGACTGTAACCAGTGGTTTGCACCTTGTCATAAACCCTCTGTATTCACATTCATAAAGACTTGGCTGTAAACTTTAACAACGATACATCTACGAAGATATTCTTGACTTGGCTAAATATTACGAAGTTATTTTTGTTAACCAATGAAACAATTTTGTAATCATCCAATTTAGATGTCTACTGCGGACTTTAAAGATTTTTAGTGTTGCTGGGCGGTCAGTGCATGCTCTCTTTTTAAGAACATACTAGATTACTGATATGTCCATTCCCAATGACCTAATGATAGCTGATAATAGCTCTATCGTGATTAGCACGCTAAGGAGCCCCAAATTCAGACTTTGGAGGAATATAAGATGTAACAAAAATAAGCTGTTTAATTAAGATGATTTAAATAACACCATGAGAGGAAAAGTGCACGTGTGCACACACACACAAAAACAAACAAACCTCTACAACAGCCATACAAGGGAACAAGGGAATTTGCTGAGACAGACTGTTGGAACAGTCCTATTTAAACACATGAGAGTAATTAGAAGAAGTGGACACAACAGGGTAACAAGACTCAGACAATAACAATCAAAGACAATGACACATGAGGAAGTAAAGCTAAACATAAGACACTAGAGACAAGTAACAATACTAGATAGGAAGAAACTGACAAATACAGACGCCAGACACACATGCGCACAGTCATTTAACATTCAGGGAAACTAGAAAAAAATGAACCAAAACACAAGCAATCTGGTAATGCATGTGAAAAGCTAATAGAAGCTAGGTTTCAATTAAACAATAACTAAAAATAATAATCCTAACAAAAATCCTGAAGGATCCTGAAATCCTGAAAAACATAAATAAAAAGCTTAAAATAACAGACCTAAAGGCCATAATGGCCTCCTTACCTTGTATCAACATCTCTTTGGACCTCATATTGAGAGTTCTATTGAACATCTACCGAATGTATGCTCAACCGTTAGAATCATCTCTAGATTTCTTTATCTGCTTAATTTGTCATGAAATAAGGAGAGAACAGGCCACACTGGTCATTTAGCATTCAGCATGTGATGTAGCTTCACTGGCACAAAGAAGAGAATGATGTTGTCAGCAAGGCTTCATGTTCAGACAGAAACCAAGGCAAATTTGTTAAAGTGGAACACCACACGAAACAGAGTAAATAAAATAATAAAATTGTTCAAAAATCTGATCTGATACTGAGTGATATGAAAGTGTGGACAGGATTCATCATAGATTCACACATTGTCCGACATGATATGTCTCAGCAGGCCTAAGCATAGATTGTGGTTCACACATGAACCAGTCCTTCAGTGCAGTTATTCTCCTATCCCCTATTGATTGTGGTGTTGGATAGAGACATATTAATCAGAGTCATCTGGCCTTCTTTGTTCTCCATCGTCTCCCTGCGTTCTTGTCCTCTCTCTTAATTTGATCTCACTTTCTGTTTGGTTTTGCCTTTCCCTTCTCTTTCTCCCGTTCTCACATATCTGCCTATGACTTTCTCTGACTCTGCAGTTTTGTGTCACTTATGTGAACACTGTGTCTTCTGAAGGGCAGAGTCAGATATTTTATAATGTCCTTTACAACAAAGACAAAATATATCCTATATGTATGTGTACAAGGGGCAAAAAAATTCCCTTGCTGTACATCCAATCCATGGTGATACCCCTCAAAGGAGACATTTTAAGACATACTGCAATAAATCTCCATTATTATATAGTGAGGATATCAAGGGAGAGGTATAACAGTGAGTGTCTGTAAACAGAAAACACGGTGGAGACTCTGTCAAAGCCTGCATTTCTTGTCAACGTTGTCAAAATTGATTAAATTATAAATGCAGAAAAGTACCATCAGACTTTGATCCTACTGTTAACTGGAAAGTGTTTCAATGGCAAAGAGTTCGATTTTTAAGGATATCAGTGTTCCCAAATACACTGCCAATGCAATAAAAGCATCACTGGTAGGGAAGGCAATTGATAAGAATTTAGAAATTCTGATCCCATTATCGATATCACTCATCGATTCTCATTGGGTTCTTATTGGCTACACTTTGAGAGTCACTACCATCGCTAAGCAGCATATCAAAGACATTACATTTGTGCAAATTAATTGCATGCTGTTTGGTCAAATGTTTGTGCATGTTGGAGGTATTTTGCCTGTTGGGGTAATTACTAAAAAAGTAATGTATTACATATATTACACAGAACACTTTCCTAAAAGTAATGCAGAACATTACTTAACTACTCACAGGAGAAATTAATTTGTTACACTACTCATTACATCTGTTGTTACATGAAACACGTTGTCTACATATGTTACAGTCCCACACACCAACACAAATCCCTATTCTAATGAAGACACATATATAATCTTTCTCCTACTATTTAAGTATGAATACAAAGCAAAGATAAAAACCAGTATAAAGAAACATGGAAACATTGTTACCTGTTGAAGTTCAGGGTCTGGTTGCTGGGCGTGGGTCTGCATTCACTCAGTTTTAACACAGTCTGGGTTCTGGGCTAGCTTAGGGTTAGCATGCTGTATATGCTAGTACTTGCAAAGAGCCAAAGTTGTGTTGGAAGTATAATGCAGTTGTGTCTGTTCTGGATGCAGTTTGCACTTTACCATTGTGCTCTCACCCTTTTGTGCAATAAAAATAAAAATAATGTTCATATCCACGTTGTAGATGTCACCACTATTTTTCTCCTCCAGCACACACACTGAAGTCAGCTGATTGTAGTACTTGTGCCGGAGCTGTGAGTGGAATTGAAAGGCAAGCAGGCTAACAATTCCAAGGAATTGAACTGCTGGGAGCCGGACGTCTAAAAGTACTGGTTCTTGATTCCCACCCCTAATACCTGAATATAAAAATACACAATGGAACATTATCAGTCATAGACTGGCGTCCTAAGAGCTTGAATTTCAACATCATTGAATCACTGTGGGATCATCTTGACATAGAATGAAACAAAAGGCAGCAATAGCCAAAGAAGAGCTTTGAATGTCCTTCGAGACGTCCTGTAGACTACTTGAAGAAATTACAGCTTGCCTAAGAAAGTTCAGGCTGTGTTGAAGAATAAAGGTGGTCAGACTAAATGTTGACTTTCAAGCTTGTTAGAATTATACAAACTCTTTTTTTGCCACATATACTTAATTTCCATTTACAGCGCTATTGGACCACCTGTATAGTAAAAAAAATTGTAAATAATATATATATTTATTTAACATATTTTTAGGCAAACTGTAACAAACTAAATTCATGCTTTTATAACCAGATTTCAACCAGCACAGCAAACTTCACTGAGAAGTCAAAAATTAATCAAGCATAACGTTCAACCACTAAATTAATTTACCTCTTTGAAATGCAAGTAAATTACTGCAATTTTGGTGTTTTAAAAAACTCCGATTTACTGCTTTACTATTTGTTCTGCTTTTTTAAAACAGAAAATTTAAATATGAATGGATAATAACAATAATTTTAGCATTAAAAATATCATATTGATTGTGCATACTGATGTAACCATTACAGCAACATAAAAAAATATTTTGATAATTACTAACACTGTTAGTTTAGAGCAGCTCTTATATAAACCTTACACTGGGTGGTGGTCTAATAAATGTTCACAATTCGTTTGCATTTTTCAGTGCATGACCACACCTATTGCTCCTAGCTGACTGAAGTCCATTCATTCAACATAGGAGAAGTGTATGTGAAATGCATGTGTATGTCACAAAAACCCCTTTGCCTTTTTAAATCAGTTAAGGTAACTGTTCCCTTTTCTTTCTCAACATCACTTTTGGTCTATACTACAAGCCCAAGAGGGGTGAAATATTGCAGTGTTGTCCATCACAGATGATTTTTGTTGGCACTGTTATAACATGCCAAATTACTTCTCACGGTTCATTTTGCATTCAGTGGGAGCTATGCATCTTAATGATGTAGTTAAATCTAAATAAAGACTTCACTAAAATAGATTTTCAATGAGTCACATTGGGTACATGCAGCTTTTTGTAAAGCCATATTTACTCTGAGTTAAACTGCTAGTTCCAAAAGTGAATAACGTTAACTGTCACATCTGATATATATATGTGTGTGTGT